TTATGTCAACCCTGTGCTGCGTGAGCATTGCGGTGCGTTGAAAGCTGTGTGTAGAGCTGTAAACGCTGCTTTGTGTGTGAAAGAAGGGCCTTGTGTCAAGCCTGTGCTGCGTGAGCATTGGGGTGCGTTATTGCTGCGGAGTACTACAAGCTGTGCCGTCAAAGGCAAGGCCGCAAGGCAGTAACAGCAGTTGTGGATTGCAACGACTGCAAAAGTGCTGTGAAGGTGTGCGCCGCATCACAGTGGCCAGAGTCGCGCGGAGAGGTTAGCACCGCATGTAATGTGGTCTGGCGCGTGGAGGTTTGTAGACGCCGCTTTGTGTAGAGGCTGTGTTGTGTCAAAGCAGAAGTGCATGTGTTGTGTTGTAATTTTTGTGAGAGCTGTGGCGTGCCACCTATTTGGAAAGGCATTGCTATTGCCGCCAGTGACGAGCAGTGGTCCTAGTGTTGCTGGTGCCCGTGGTGGTTGCGAGGCGGAGGGGTCATAGAACTGATAATTCAATGTTTGGTCCCGAACAGGCTGTTCAAGCTCCCCCTTTGCTTTGCAAAGCAAACTCAAGCAAGGTAGCCCTTAACAGGCTACCTTTCGTGAAATGCATCAAAATGCGTTATTCAGTACATGTCAGCGCGTTTAACTGTTTGACCTCATCAATGCAGGTTCGAGGGAATTTGGATGGGGAACTCAATATGTGCAATTCACTTGTTCCTTTTCCACTTTGACAGCTTTGCCCACTTTCGCTTTCATTAATTCAAACATACTCCAAAAAGTGCTACCTCTCACTTCGGCATGAAGTCTGCATGACCCGACCGAACTATATAATCAGCACAAGCTACGTATTTTGTTTCGCTGTGCGACTGACACAGCCCGCATGGATCTGTGTAGTACAGTGTAGTTGTGGAGTGTGCATGGCCCCAGATGGGAAGGCTATGACTACGACGAGTAGTAACGAACAAAGTGGTGATTTGTTGACTTAAAATGTGGTGACGTGTGGTGTGGTGATTTGTGACGTGGTGAAGTGGAAGCCGGTGATGGTCGTGTCTTTGCGTGCTTCGGTGAATTAATTGAATGTGGTGCGATGCAGCTCGGTGGTCTGTGATGTTTGTTGCGTCTTTCATCGTCCTGCTAGCATTCGCTGCTATTGCGCTGCCGCACATTTACTCATTGTCGGGGTGAGCGGGTGGAGTAGAAGACGCTGATCTCTCTCCCAATGGATTCTTTACACTTTAGTCTTTAGTGGCCCTGATCTTTGAGTGTATGGCAACATGGTCAGAGGTCTCTGCCTCGATGCCAAGTGTAGTGAACCCCGTCTCCTTGACAATCCTTAATGTGGAGAGGGCAAAAGTAGTTGGAATCCTTCAATTGGATTCTATCATCATATATCCCCTTTTATATCCTTTGACTAGGTTGATGTCGTTTAGTTTCAAGCAAAAGTGCCCTGGCTTTGGCTTGGCACCCAGCTCCACTTGGAATTGGCGAGCTTCCTCGGTTTCCTGGGAGCCTGTCAAAGTGGTAAGTAAGTCAATCAGCTGGTCGCAACATGAACACACACACAAATAGACAACATTACCGTCTGCATTCAGCTTGCTATCATTCCTTCCCACCCCAAATTTTAGCATCCGACTCAAAGACATTCTCTTTGACCTGTCCAGCAAAATCAGGAAGACCAGCCTAGAATGTATTAGAAATTATTAGAATGTCAATTTCATGTGAGTCAGTGAGTCAGCATGCCCCACGATGCACCCAACCCCAAAAACCTAGTTGGCAACGAAGGTGTCTCCGTCGACTTTCCAGGCGAAACCTGCAGTGTTCTAAGAACGCAAAGCAACAATTACAATGCAAACTAGATTTAAAAGGAAGCAACCATTTAAAAGTTGGGCGCACAAAGTTTCTTCAAGTGAAGCACGTGCAAAGTTTGTGTGAACCAACCTGGCCTGGTCGATCCATTCCGCCAGGTTGAGGCGCTGGGACAGGAGTGCTTGAACCGAACCGAACAAGAGTGATTCACTTGTACTTCCAATTTCAATATTTCCAAATTGCATCAAATTGCCGCCTTAAAGTCTGATGGTAGAGCACTTGCAAGCGACAGGACCTGAATCTCCGAAAAGTGCACGTCTGGGGGATCAGGTGCACTTCGGAAAACATCCGAGGGCTGGGTCACATGCCGCTGGACTCGACCCTGGTGCAGGCCATGTGGTTTGGTCCTGCCATACCACCGCAATCTTGTTGCAAATCGTTCAAAGCTGTGGGCTCCTGAGGAGACGTCCGCGGGGGCGTGCACAAAGCCACCTTCACAGACTAGTGAACTTTGGTAACCGCGCAGCTGAGGGACACAGTATGACAAGCACATTCACAGCTGATGTTAAAGGGACTTCTGAAGCCTTGCCGTCTGCATCTGCAGCATCTGCAGCCTGCGGTGAACCCATTTGTTGGTTACGTTGCAGCGCGGTTTTGTATTGAAGAGTCGACATTCCTGGACAACGGAACACCACTCTTTCAACGCAAAAAGAATGAAATGCACTCTGCCACTGAAATCGTTTATGAAACTCTACAAAGGCACGTCCACAATTCATTAACGTGAGACAATGGAGGAAGGGGCTGGCGGTGGAAGTTTCCCATAGTTTCCCAACGTAGGTGTGTGGCACGTCTGCCGTGCACCGATCAAGGAATTCCAAATACGTCGTTTGGAAAGCGATATGCTTGAGGTTGGGGACCACAAAATAAAATGACATGGGCAATGAAATGACACTATAGTTACTATAGTGATTCTTCTAAAGGACACTGAGGTTTCTCGATTGATACTGTACCGTTGATAGACATTTTGGACACAAGACTGTTCGTGATTCGTGACTACAACACACACACACACCCGACTATACACATTCTTCACCTTCAAGATACAGCTAAACAAATGGCTCTGTGTTGAATTTGCAAATTGGGATCACCACGTTGGAAGTACCAGTCAGTGTCTTCGCTTGGCCTGCTTACATGGGGATGAAGACCTGCCTTGGTGGTTGATGATTGGCCCAGCCCGACACAACTCGAACCCTTTTCATCTTCTTGCTGCCTAATTTCATGTCCAACAAGAGTGTGCAAGGCTCAAACCTTGCCACGCGTGAGGCGGAAGTGCCCAAATAACCTCAGTTTTGTGATCTTGGTCTCAGCAAACGCTTCTCGTGGTCCCTGGCCTCACGCATCTGCTTGACGACCTGCAAGGAGCGCTGTCCAAGCTTCAAGGAAACAGCTGATTTTGGTACATTGCGCAGTGAGACGCATCACACTCTTGCATTAGCCATTCATGACAACCGAGACAACCACACAATCATTTTCAATAATTTTGTCTCCTACGGATGATTGTGAGACTTGTCGGCCAAGCAAAAGCAAAGATAGATCGAGGTTGGACAAACAAGAGGGTGAGACCATGAGAGTCTAGGGAAGTGAGATGATTCGCGTTAGAGCTGAAGTATTGAGATGCAGTACAGGGAGGTTGAATGGTACAACACGACTTGGTATTGGGATGCGTCGTGCTGTGGGTCTGTCTTGAGCTTGGCTGTGCATTGTCAGTTCACTTGTGGGGTAGGGCACACAGTTTTGCTGTCCACCTACCAGCTACCTTGTAAACTGCCCGCTTGTTTCGTTTAAAGAACAGTTCTTGCTGGACATAACCGAGAAATGATCACATTACAGTATAGCTGTATAGCTGTGACACTACCGTCATGCTATGACACTGCCGATAAACTTCTTTGCTTACGATTAGTGTTGCCATCTGACATGAAAAAATATGAGCACGAGTGAACAAAAAGCAATGTACACTGCAAGTGACCTGCTCAAACTTGGAGGTGACCTCCACCAATGCACCTGCAGCGCTCAAACGGTTGGTTAGCTCATGAACGGGGCACTCACTAGTTCCCAGACTCAATTTCACTGATTCAAAAAAAGGGTCTTATACTGAATCTTGTTTTGGTAATGTTGCGACGTCTGCTGGGCAATGACTTTTTGGATACAGTATTGGGACATATGTTTGGTCTTGTCCGATCCCTCTAAGAAACTAACATTTAGACCAGGCAGTCGTTCGATTCCCCAGTGGCATCGTATCATGAAAGCAAGACCTCTGGAAACATATGCCAAAACCACGTGGCACAGCGATAAGCAAAACCTCGCATCGCCACACCGAAAAGAGACTATATATCTACTTTCCAAACAGGTCTCTGGAAATCTCTTCTCTAGGAAACTCAACTTTCTTACACTTATGCGACTCTAGAACTTTGCTGCAGCTTCTTTACAACCTCAAGTCAACCTCTACTTTGAATTCTCTACCACTTTTATAGTCCTTTCTCCGGAGATCTCATGTCACCTCACACTCGTATGCTAATATCCACTTTTTGTCTCTTTTCTCGGCATCTATATATATATAAGTATCTCTTGTAGTCAGTACTACATCTTCCCAGGCGGCTAGGCGTCTCCACTTTTCTGTTTTTCCTCAAATTTGAGAAATCATGTCTTTCCCACATTTCTCTGAACTAATTTTCTCCAGAATTAGTTTTCCCTGGCCTCCCGCACTTTTCCCTAGCAAGTTTCTCTTCAACCTTTACTACTTTACTTTGGAAATTGATAGTTCTCGCAACCTTGCCAATGCGCTTTGCACCAGTTCCACTCTGAAAAAAAAAAATCCAAAAAACATCCGTAACCGGCAACCCAACCCTGCCAATGTCAACAACCTTCACTCCATCCCCCTTAGAGAACTGCTTTCCCAACATGCCCTTGCGCTCGCTGGACACTGGACGCAGCCCTGCCAACATGCTTCGCATTCTGCAGTTGGGTTCCCAGTAAAACTCCGTTTCCAGCAAACCACCCAAACAGTTACTAAAAAACTATATCCATACTTACTGTATGAATTTATGTAACTTAATTATGTAGCTGTGTGCTATTATCATCTGTTATCAGCATACCGTGCAAGGCAACTCGGACACCATCCCAAGATTGTCCCTCTTTTTATTAACTTTTGTATTGCATTCGTGGCGCCAATCTAATTGTGGCGCAATCAAGCACTGTAAACTGTAGGCGGTTGTGTGTATGATGTTATGCTGTCCCTGACCCCCTGACCTTTGACTCTCTGATGCTCAGCGGCCAGCTCAGCCTGCTGCTCCTGGCAAAGCCGATCAATGAAATGAATGCCGCCAAGTGGGAAACGAAAAGTTGTCCTGCATCTTAGCCAGTGTGTCGACCACCTAGTAGAAACGCTCAATGTGCAAAGTTGCAAGTCTTGTTGAAGCAGTACTAACATGTACTAATTGGACCTGACGGTGGTTTATGGCAGCACTTTGTGCAAAAGTTGCTGCAGGCCGTAGCATCTAGAAAACGTAGAGTCGCAGAGCTGCAAAAACAGTATGCACTTTGCACACTGAGATGCCACATGAAATGTTGCGCGCAACAGCATGTTCCGTCTTAGCAAGGTTGATGAAACGGCGATTGGCAACGCTTCCCTGAAAGCATTGCCTGAAAGCTGTGCACTGTAGTTCTAAGTTGGGTTTGAGGCCACATTATGATTAAAAACAAGATGTCCCACACATTGTCCAGCTGACCAGCTGATTAGGAAACACCTGGATCTCCAAACATATGATTTTCATAATTCGCTGCGAACAATGTGTTTTGAATGCAGTTCTCTTAAATCTGCAAAGCCAGGTATCATAGTCCTTTGCAGCTTCCGGTTGTCAAAGGCCGATGCTGAACTTGGGATGGGCTTCTGGACTCTCTTGGAAGATCCATGACAAGGACAATCAATGGCTTCTTGGCGGGCGAAAATCAAACAAACAAATACTTTCCATCTCGTATGCCTCATAGTTTTCAAGTTACGTGTGTGTAGTGTAGCTGGATGGGTGTATTCGAACTTGCAGCTCTTCGGCGCGGCGACGACAAATTTGGCTGCCGAAAAAAGGGGCCGACGGCATCGCAGCTGTAGTTGATGCAAACTGGCGGGGCTTGTGAGCTTTTGCTTCAGCACTTCCAACAAGAACTGCAAACCAGCGCCGCCCCCTGATCTGGAGGGATGTAGGTGTCCGGCCTGGTTCGTGTTTCTACAGTGAGGTTACATTCGCTACATTTCCAGCCCAGCTCAGAGGCGTTTGGTGACCACGGTCTCATCCTTCTGCGTCCCCGCTTCTGATGTGGTGACCGCTGGTCTGGTGGGCTTTCAAGGGTTTCTGCCCCGGCGGCCTTGCTTGCGGGAACATGGTGATTTCCATAATGGGCGAAGTGGATGACACTGGAAGGGCCATTATCCTTGCTTTAATTTGCTTCTCAAGCGACCAGTGCAAAACGATGGGCGTGACTCTTGGTAGTCTCTGTCCATGCTCCGGGCGACGGTGATACTTGGTGGCAGAGGCCTCTGCATTCTGTTGAGGATGCTGGTGATGGCACTTCCACCAAAAGACGTGAGTCTCTCCTTCGCCTTCACCAGTTTCACGGCACTGTTGTCGATCACTGACGTTCCGAACCCGTCCTGATGGATGTTGTCCACGGGCCCACTGCTCCGAATGATGAACGCGACTCTGGGCGTCTTCAGGCTTTGCCGCCAATCAGAACATGATATATGCACCTTCAGGCCCGTCGGGGTTGAGCAGAGCCTCGTTGATCAGGAGTATGATGTCAGTCGTAGATCGCTGGCCTTGCAACGTCGGCGTTGTCTTTGCCGAACTTGAGAAGCCGCTTGACCTTCGTGATTCATAATGTTGTTGGCCTTGTTATCATGTAGCCGCAGTTCTCGGTGAGCGTGATGTCACATTATGTGATGATTACTGATCCTTCCTGATCAACCTCGCCCTGTCCACAGCAGCCATGTCTGCCGATAGCAGCCAATAGCAGGGCCAGAGATGCATTTGCCTGTGTGAGGAGATGGTGTTACAGTTCGCCGGATAGGCGATCTCACTCCACTGGTGTTCGAGAGGGTTGACAACATTGCGACTGTGCTTTGTTCTTTCCTCTTCCTTTGCCACAAGAATCGTCGCCACTTCCGGAACTCGCTGGCACGGGTCCGGCAGCAGCTGGTGTAGAGTGCCCTGGTTTTCGGTCAGCGCAACCGCCGGAAGATGTGCTGCTTGGCATAAAAACTAGACGACGAGTGGCCCGAAAGCATTTTTCATCACGTAGGAAGTCAGAGTGTGAGTTATCTGGTAAGTGTTCAGTGTGAAGTGTTAAGTCGAGTGAGTTGAGGCAGTGTGTGGGTCTCTGTGTGTGTGTATCTATGTCTGTGTGTGTATGAGTCTCTGTCTGTGTGTGTCTCCGAGTAAGTTGAGGCAGTGCGTGGGTCTCTGTGTGTGTGTGTGTCAACCTTTGAAGAGAGCCGGGTGGTTGGGAGACATGACTCAGCTGCAGGGGCGCCAGAGCAGCTGCGAGAGATGACTCAGCCGCGAGAGATGACTCATCCGCGTACTAAAGTTGTACTGCAAAGTCGCCAGTTCTCAGCTTCCAGCTCCACAGATTGCTCCGCGTACTAAAGTTGTACTACAAAGTCGCCAGTTCTCA